ATAAAATGAAGAATTTTAATCTGACTTTCAACTCCATTGTAACGAAATACATGATAAAAATGACAAAAGACCTTCTTGCTTCTGCTTATCCAACCTCTTGATCGACACCTTCACTCATCCATCCTAGATTCTTCAATAAATTTTAATTCACTTTGCCGTTATTCTTGTTCCTTGTGCATATTTTTCTACTTTTTCCTTCCACTCCATTTTCTCTCCACACCTTTTGATGCAGCATTCAGTGCTTTAGCTTCAGTAGAAGTGACCGATTGAAGCTGGGTGTTAATGACCTTCTGCTGTCCAGTCAACCTTTGTTTCCATGATTGTAGCATAACTTGTACTTTTACCCCTTAAAATGCAACTTTATAATTTTCTGACAAACTGAATTGACTGAAACATATTTTAATTACATACTGACTCACTGAGGTGAACTTGTATTGGCTGGGAGCAGAAATTCAGTTTCTTGCAGCTGACAGAAACGACTGAAAAACACCAAGATGGGAAGAATTTTTACTTTCTGTAACAGTAAAGTACCAAAAACCTGACCCAAAACCTCACCTGAAAATAGTTTTGACTTAATCTGTTTCTGTAAACTCCCCAGTGTTGTTGCGGCAAAGCCCACCGAGTGCAACGGGAAAAATGAATAGATCCGGCTGCTCCGGCACACTGGAACGGGTGAAAAGAATGAATCGTCTGATTTCCTCTTGGGATTTCCTGGCACTCTACTCTCGGCTCCGAACATTACTGCCCTGCTGATATGCCAAAAAATAAAATATGCATTTTCTCTGACTGAAACAATCCTAGGAGTTTTGCTATGCGAACAGAAGATTTCATTCAACGCTTCCAGGCATATTGATTGGATCCCCCCAACTTTATCTGCTTATCAAGGTCATTTATGTCATTTCTTTTGTCTGAGAGCGCACCACTTCTTTTTGAGAACATCTTTTGAGTTAAACCTGCTTCTTTTTTTTTTTTTTAAACAAAAATCCTAAAGTTTTACTTCTTCATTTTCCATTACTGGTTTGATGAGAGGATCCAGAACCCAAACCTGCCCAGCCTGTGAGGAAAGGACCATGTGTGTGTTCCTCCGCTTTGATTTAAGATCAGCCAATAGGATGAGGGATTCCTCTTTCCAGCTGATGAAACTGTGGTCAGAGTTTACCCCACTGCTACGCAGCGAACACATTTGTGGACCGTGGAGGACAAACAGGTGTTGACAGGAAAACACTTTGCAGCAGCACAGCTGACACTTAGTGGAGAGGAAGAGGATTCAGAGGAAACTTACCCTTCATCCCCAGGCCTCTTCGCCCTGACCGCCGCTGACTGTGGATGGGGACGAACGCACACCAGCTGCTACTTGTATCTGTACAGCATTTTTAGTCTTCAACTCGCCTCAACTCACAGTTTCCATAGTAACGGGCTGGGAGGAATTGAAGACTGAAAATGACATACAGGACATTCGGCGTCTCCCCCGCGCTCGTCGGCGTCTCTCGTCGGCGTCTCTTTCGAGCTGCTTGGAGGTCGACGGACTCCGGCGTCTCTCTGAGGTCAGTCGGTGTCATCCCAAAAGGAAACCATTGCTACGTCTTTTTTTTTTTTTTCTCTCCTCCATCTTTTCAACTTTCCATCTGCACAATAATGAAACTCTTGACTGTAACTCTTGAGCAGAAGTTTACACTTCAAAAGCCTTTGGAGATAAGATTTCCTTTTCCAGCACAGAGAACTGTACATGATTTTAGTCTTGCTTGGTACAGTATAAATCTCTCTGACAAGATCTGAAGGGAATATTTTTCTAAACCTTTTCGAGCTTCACTCGGACCGCAAAGCGATAATAAAGATTACGTTGAGGAAAATGCTTTATTGGTCTGCTCTGGCGGGACAATCTCAGTTATCTCCCATTATGTTTTCTCACCGTGATGAACAATACCTCAGAAGGGGACGAAAACATCTTTAATCATGTGTCCAAACGTATTGGGTGGCACAAAGGGATTTGCTTTACAGAGCAACTTGATAAGGAGGCGCAGAGAGAAAACGGAGCAGGAATTATGAGGAGTAAACTTTGGATAAAAAGGCTCATTCGAAATCGTTCAAGAAGACATTAAACGACTAAGAAAAACCAGGAAGCCATTAGCTGGTGAGGGTGATTCGTTTGAGTTTGAATTGTTTGCTGCGGTTTTATGTCATCGATAAGTTTTGCTTCGTAACTTTCTCTTTTTTTTTTTCCGTCTCACTGGCAGAAGTGGGGTTAAAACATCTGGGATGACATAATCTCTAATTAAATGTGTGAAGTCCCCTAACGAGTTATACGAGTCGTCTGTTCTGACGGGGATGAGAAAATCTACTTATGCTTTTGTGAAATAAATAGCTGCAAACTCTCGCTGGGATTTTTGATTGGTTCTCTGCACAGGAAGGGCGGGACGATGCCTCCAGTGAGCCCATTTATGTTGCAGGATATAACCACAGTAGCGGTCAAATGTCTGCGTTTTTCTGCTGACATTTGAACACCCATTCAACCTTCTCACAATTTATTACATCACAACAAGAAACTTCAGTGTATTTTATTTAGATAGCAAGGGAAAGACCAACAAGTTTGAGACCCAACTTTGAACGCCACCGCCTTAAACAACTTTGAAACAGAATCCAGAGGAGAAATAAAAAAGATCAAACAACCTGACCAGAGTGTCGTCATGTCTGTGCATGAGGCGATGAACAGCAGTGAGCTTGTTGTAATTCAGCTTGTCAATCAAAATTTGAAAACCGCGACATTAACCAACACATTTATGTCTTAAAATTGATTTAATCCCACAAGACTCCCAGAACTCTCAAGGTTCTGACCTGTATTCAACGATTTGGGAAATATTTCTACAACTATACAGCAGGTTAAGAGCTCTTCATGTGAAGGATTTTTTTTTTTTTTTTAAAAGCCCTGAAATTGAAAACATGTTCTGAAGTCCACGAACAACAACAGCTGGAATAGTTGAGATTACTGAGAGACCCTGGAGAACAGAAAAAAATGGATTAATTTGTACAATTATCAGTAATAATAATAATAATAATAATAATAATAATATATCTTCATGAAGGAACAAGACTGACAAATGAGACCAAATGAAAAGTGACTGGAGTCCTGCTTCAACAATTCCTGCTCACAGCTCCATAATTGGATCTTTTTCTTTGCAGCATCGCTGCAGGACCATTCTTATTAATAAGTCAACGAGGGTCAGTAAATCCAATTTATATTCATCACATCTTCTCCTCAAAATAGATTAATCTCATTTTCTGTGAGGAGATTCTTGGATCTGCATTGTTTTCTGATCTCCAAACTCCCTTGCTGGGTGAAAAGGAAACCGCTGGATAAGTGAAGTCCGGCAGAATTATGGAACAAAAACAGGCTCGTTTTCATTGCTCACTGGATCTAATTAAATAACAACAACAACAGCAAAAAAAGACCAAGAAGTGCATGAAATTATGTGACTTTGCTTGTATGGCCAGCTGTGATTGAATATTCCTACTCAAAGTCTTTGTGTTTCCCATTCGGTGTGTGCATACAGCTGGTTTCTGATCAGATGTGCCGTCGGGGAAAGTATCTGATGTTGGAGTTCGTTTCCGGGCTCCTTCTGTTGTTTTGGCTTTCATCTCATCACACTACGGCTCCTCGGTCATGAAACAATAAGCCGGTCCGAGACCCACTTGTTTGGAATTGAATTTGTGTATTCAATTCAACTTTTAGAAAAGTTGTAGTTTTGCCCTTCGACATAATTATGGATGTCAAACTTGAAAAACTTTGTTTTTCTGCATTAGCTTTAATCAAGTTACTGCATCCATATATATTTATAAAATAAAAGGTACAGGATTGTTTCAGATGTTTGTCTCATAATAATGGTGTACTTTTCATATTTCTATTTAATTTCTCCCTAATGGTTGGCATTATTACAATAGATATTAATTACATTCATAAAAGTAAAACATTCTGAAAGTTGACGCGTCTTTACATAACTGTCTGCACAGCTAATGCTGTTTGTCAAGGCATGAGAAAGTTTACATATCGGCGAATAATAGAAAGCTAACTTCCTATTTTAAGAGAATGTCTGACAAGATGAAGTGAGGCAGAGTGTGAATTGAACCGTCATCACTTTGGATAATGAGTCCTTTCACGACACGGCGCACAGCCAGAATGTTCTGACGGAAACTTCAAACCGTAGATTTGGTGGAATGACAGGAAGGGCGTCCGTACATTGACAGCAAAATGTATTAAGTATATTTGTTCAAAGTGACCTGGGATTTATGGAAATGGGCAGATTATTGTTTGATTAACAGGCGTGCACTGATCCGTGTTTTTCACATCCGATACCGATATCTGAGGTTTAGTATTGGCCGATACCGATCCGATACCGAAAAACTGCAGAATTGACCGAAAATACCCTCTCAACCCCCCAACACAGACATAAACATAAAGAATTACAAATTAATTAGAAAACTGCACCAGAACAGCACACTTAAAAGTACCAATAGCTTTACAAGTTTGATCAAACATGTAAAAACAACTTTAATCTGTTCAGTCAGTGCAATTAGGAGTAGAACAGCCAGTATAGAAGCACAGAATTAGATTGAATGGATCTGTCCCTACGGACCGGACACTTCATCACGATACCCCATCTAGCTTTATTTTCAATATCCGATACAGATATAAATGAGGGACATATATAGATTTTACTGCCATCATATTCCAAATTATTGGACTGGGATTCCTCAAGGTTGTGTTTTCAGCACATTTTATTTTAACCAAATAAGAAATAAAACACCAGCTTTTCATCTTATTTGCTCATAATGTAAATTATTCAGTATGTACATTTGAAACTGTTCCTTACAGAAACACAAAGCAGATGTTAAATTCAAACACCTAGAAAACTTTAGGGAAACCTGCTGTAAGAGTTTCAAACCAAGACTCAAAAACAACAAAACGGTGACCTCGGCTCGAATCCTCGCTCTCTGCTACCTCTCACCTGTTTATTCATGAAGACGTAGATGACCGGGTTGATGACGGTGCTCGCCTTGGCCAGCACCGAGGGGATGATGCTCGCCTCGGGCGTGACCAGGCCGGGCGGCCCGAAGGTGGCCAACAGCGCCATGATCCCGTACGGCATCCAGCAGAGCAGGTAGCAGATCACCATGATCACCACCATGAACAGGACGCGCTGCTCACGCTTCCTGCTCAGCGACGCGTTGATCCCGCTCACCTGCAGGCGGCACAAGAGAGGAGAGGAGTCAGAGGTTTAAGGACAGGAGAGACTCCTGAGATGATGAGATCTGTTCTGACGTTTAGGTTTTTGATGGCTGGAAGTCTGCCGCTTGTCAGAGCTGATGGAAGAAAGACAAAAGAGTGAGAAGGAAGAGGTTTGTGATGAGGATAAAACAGAGGAAGAGGAGAATCCAGAGGAATGAGACATTAGCAAGAACTGCAGGAGGATGACTTGAGAGTTAGAGAAAACACTTTTTACCCTTTTTATTCCAATGTGCCTGACAAAATTAAAATTCAGAGCAGTCCTTCACCTCATTTTAAAAAAGGTTGCCAACATTTCCAAATACTGAATGTTCCAGGACAGACTGAATGTGAATGTAGCCTTCCTGTTTCCTGCCCGAGTCTCTCTCTCTCTGTCCTGATTCAGTGAAGGAATCAGGGTACGACTGCCGTCCTGTCTGTATACTGAAACAATTGGGTATGAAACAATGGTTTTTGACATCAGCAGAAAATTGAAGATTTGTGTACATATGTAATAGAAATGCAACTAATTTGTTTCCAGAACCTCTCCTCGGGTCGGGGCGTAGAGTCTCCAGGTGGATTCTTCGGGACTGTGACAGATGCAAAGCCCGATTCAGCCGGAAGACGTGATGTTCAGTGGGAAAATGTTCCCACCAGTACCATGGTAACCTCAACCCAGAGTTTCTCCAGATATGGACAAAACATCGCAACTGGTACATGGAATGAAACCAGATACGTTTTAATAGTTGTTATATTACATTAGCGCCATAAAGCTGGAAACGACTTCATTCAGCGTTGTGACTCTGGAACCAATCCCAATAATAAGTGTGTCTTTCTCCAGAGTCAGTCAGGACGATATCGCCACTTCTCACAGGAAGGGATGTGACTTTGCATTAAACAGACAGATGGTGCCCGTGTGTGTGTGTGTGTGTTTGTGTGTGTGTGTGTGTGTGTGGTGTGTGTTTGTGTGTGTGTGTGTGTGTGCTTAACGGAAACAGAGCATTTAACCTGCTAAGTGAGATCTCAGGTTTTGCTGGAGGTAAACGATGACGTTAGAGAACAAAGGGCTTCACAAATAAATGAAACGATAAAATGTTTTCAATAACCTCAGCTAGACATTAGCTGGTTTAACTCAATCACCAGCATTCTTTGACTTGATTTTTAACCTAGTTCTGTTTAACAACTCCTACCAGTTATTTTGTTCTTGCTGTACAATCCTTTGGTGCAACCCAATTGTTGTAAATTGCAGGATAAATAAAGTTGACATTGCTACTTCAAAAAAAAAAAAGCAGACTTAAATTTAGCTTTGTCAGCAGAACAGAGCTTTCTAATTACGCTAAATGGATATGTAGCTGCTTGCTCACATAAAAAGACTGAGTGAGCAGTCTTCTGTTCACCAGAGATCCTCTATGCGGGAAAGGAATGAGATTATTTTTGAAAAGCGATTTATTTTAGAAACTTTATCACTAATTGAGACATTACATAGATTAATTGCACACAGATGGATACTAGAAAGCCTTTGTTTCTGTCAACTGTGATTTTCCACTTGCAGCTAATGGAAACATAGCATTTAAAATAGAAATGTGAGCTTTGATGAGAAGTGCGTAATGCCTTTAATAGTTGTTATTTTTAAAAGGCTCTTTTAATCTGACAAACAGAGCTCATTCAAATTGATTGAATATTAATTTAAGTAAAGCTGAGAACAAGTCATTAGAGCAGAAATAGAAAAAAAGACTTTCTGAGAGAATTGTATTTTTTCTTTTCTTTTTTTTGCTAAATGTACTAGTTGAAGTCATGAAGAAACGGTTTTAAACCGGAGTTTTTCCTCACCGGACTGAAAAGCATGAGAGGAAGCTGCCAAAATTAAAACCTTACCACATAAACCACGACGTGAAACACTTCCTCGCTCAAAAACACTTTCCCCTCGGCACGATTAGAGCTTCTATCCGTCAGCGTCACTGACCGATGGCCGGCTCTGCCACTTTGCTTCTTAGCCAAAATGACAGAGGTCACGACCTCCAAGAAGATCTCCAGCTGTGGCAGCCTTTGTTTTATGTCATTTCACCAGAGTTCGCGGCTCTGGTTCCAAGAAGCATTCCGACACCCAAAGAGAAGTAAAAATACGAATCGCAAAAGAGACGTAACATGGCCGCTGCATCTGAGAAAACAAAGGAATCGAAAGTACAAACCGGTTCCCATTGAAAGGAAAAGCCAGCAGCACCGTGTGGGGCTTTGGCCGCCTGTAGCTTCTCGTTCCTTTAGCATTCATAGCCAGAGCTGAGCTTTCATCAGACAGGTGTGTTTGTACTTCTTAAACAGCGAGTCCCTGCACAAATAAACGCTCCTCCATTGTGGCAGACTAATCAAACTTTTCCGGGGACTGACAGCCACTTCACATTTTCCTCATTTACCCCCCAAGAGTCTTCAGTAACCTTCTGAAGTGGAGATTTTTTTCAATTTTTTTTGTTCAGGAAGATATTTGTGCAGAACTTCAAACTCTCGAGTGTTTACTTTCTCTGAAAAGGTTTGTGAAAAGGCTGCTCGATTATACGCTTTTAACAAGTGATGGGTTTATAGAGGTCGGCTCTGGGGGGACGGGAAGCGAGAAGATTTTGCCGCGACGGTCGGAGTTTACATGCAAACGGTGAGTTTTTGCTTCTGGTTTGATGTGGAGAAGAAGTCTTACATATTTAAATGTGGCTGTGAACTGCTAACTGTGTTGGGTCCAAACGGAGAGAAAAACTACAATCCTCACAAAAGTAGGCAATTTCCCCCATTCACTTCATCATAAAAGATGCTGTAAAAATAAAAAAAATCCAATTATTGTTGCTTTGTCAGGAAAGATGTTAGATAACTGCAAAAACACAAAATCTTACCAAGTAAGATTTTTTGTGCAAACATCTCTGTACACTTGAAATAAGTCAAAACGAACTTACAGGTCACTTTTTAGCAAGATATAGGAGCTTGATTAAAGTCAGCAATTCCTTAATATTTCTATAAATATAACAAAACATTTTACTCATGTTATCAGAGAAACTAGTACTTTTTGTTCCATTTTCAGCAGGTTCCTACGTCTTGCTGAAGAGTGAGTTGATCTCAACTCATTTCAAGATATTTGCACTAAAAACTAAACCAAAAATACTTTGGTGGGCATTTATCGTATCATTTGTCATTTATTGTGAGAAATATCTTATTCATGACAAGAAACTAGACTTATCGTTGTCACTATAAATTTGAATAAAAAAAATTGACAGTATTATTGGAAATGTAAATTTTGCCATTTTCTCCACTGTTTGTCCCATGAGAACGTCAATAATTTTTTTATTTTTTTTAAGAATTTGGCATCCTGACGGAGCCTTTTTCAAATGGGAATGTTTTTAAAGAACAATACTGTGACATACAGACACAACCAAAAAAAAAAAAACTTACCTTTTTTAGTCATAATCTATATCAATATCACAATAAGACCTCAAAATATTGGGACAGGATCTCAAGACCATATCGGCAATTTCTACTCGAAGCAGCACGCAAATATTCAATAAACACATTCTTACCAGCTCTAGAGAGTAAAACAAACTTCAATGTCGGGTCGAGAAAAGATTTGTGGATTTGGTGCCGTCCAGACTTAGAAAATATGAAACTGGAGCATTACTACTCTTGCAGATCTAAATGATACTAAGCGGCCGAAGGTTTCAGCTGCTGTTTATAGCAGATTATATTCAATGGATGATTTTTTTTCTCTCTGTCAGTTTACTTTGAGGATTGCACAAGCAAATGGCATCAACGCTCTGCTGGGCTGAGCAGACATGTCTGGATGCCTGGTGAGGCTCAAGTTGAAAATGATAAAAGTTGTACAACTACAATAGGGAGAAACAAAACATTCCTCACAAGCATTGATGCTGCAATCATGGAGCCTCAGATTCTCTTTATTAAATTGAGTAGTTCACAAAAACAGATTTGGCTGTTTTTGTGAACTTAGCTCTGGCCTCCATTGGAAGAAATTTTGATGTGCCATATTTTGTCTCTTTATGTGAAAGTTGCTTGTTTTGAAAAAAGAAAAGGAAAAACTTGAGTAATGTTCTAAGTTCTGTACACCTTCTTTGTACTAAAATATTAAGAATATTTTTTTTAAAAAACTGCAGGCACTCACAACATCGGTTAAATTTTCAGTACTGAAATATGGAATCCTGCAATTCTGCAGAGCAACCAGCTCATATGTCAGAGCCACGTTCAGACAAGGTCCATTTCCAATACACAATACGTGAATTGACAATAAACATGCAATGCCTCCTGTCGTCTTCTTCCAGTGGTCGTTGATCTCGTGACTCGTGATGTGGAAAAAAAAGTGTTTCTTGCAAATTTTGTGAAATAAACTAATTCCTATGTGGCCAACCAACCCCACACCCCCATTATTGCACTTGATTGTGCTACAAAATGATACTCTGTGGCTGGAAAACACATAACTTTGAAGCAAAAAACAAAACTAATTTGAGCAACTAATTTGTAGCTCAAATTTAGTTATTGACTTTCCTCTCATTTGCTGCAGGAAAATAAACCTCACATTTCACTTTTGAGCAGCATGTGCCATAGAACAGAGCAGCAACACCTTCAAAGGTAAATTTAAGAGAAAACCTGTTGTTTTTAACAGGTTCCTCGAATAATAACTGGACTTGTGAAAGTGTGTGGAAGGTGATATGGACAGATGACAGTTTAGCACCTCATCAGTTCACATTGGCCAGCTGTTTACAGTCTCCCTATATATTCCACAACGGCTCTCTTAGTTCCAAACTTCTTAAATATTATTATTATTTTTTTTAACTTTCTGCCTTTTTTCAGGGATGATTGACATCAAAAGAGCATAAAAAATTGAAAAATGTGTCAGGTGGTCAAAGCCGCAGCGGTTCCTTTGTTAGGTGAAAGGACCGTGAACGCAGCGGGGCCCGGCCCCGGTTCCTGCGGCGCGTGACGGGCCGTCCG